CGTTGTTACAATAATACCCTGACGCTTCGTCATCCCGTCGTATATATATATATATACACACACACATACATATACACACACATATAAGTATACATATATTTTCCTATATATTTTTTCACCGGTGGCCTTGTTGGAGGAAGTTAATCGACAGTGGCCGGGTTGATATCCGTGGAATCCGTGGAGGGCGCAAGCGTAGGAGTTTCATGTTGTTTGGAAGGTCGTTGCTCTATATCCGATTTTAGAAACGACCGAGCAAACTCGAAGACGGCCTCATAACTACGTAACGTTAAGCGGTGCATTTCTCTTGCGTCGCGTGATCCGCCTTTTTTCTCGAATCTTTTACCGTTGCATTTTTGTAATTTACTTCGAAGACAGGTTATACCGTTACACCTAACCCTCAAATGTACAATTTCTGTTTAATAGAAAATACCAGAAAAATTCTTGACCTTCTGTTATTTTATTTACTTTTTACTTTCTTATTTGGAAAAATAAATTCTCGCATATACATTTATACGCACTCTTTATTTTTTATAAAGATACAGTCTACATTTGCAAAAATCGAGGGTTTCGTGTGTGTAACTGTCGAAAGAAGGCCAATTGAGGTTATGTTCGTTTCCCTCTTCCTCATTTATTCTAGATTACCTCTTCGAATTTAATTATTTGAAGGTTAAGTTGTCCATTTTGTTCCCGCTGTGGGGGGGAACACTGTAATTTTCGATCCGAAACGAACACCTCGTTCGAGACGTAACACGATCTGTCGAACCGCTTAATCGTCGGATCCTCATTACCGCCATTTTGCTCTCGGACGGACAGAGTTGGAAATACTCGACTGCTCGAATCAATTTAAGTACCGTTATAATACACGCTCCCCTGAGAAGTCGTGCAGCAATGTATCTCCACTTTTTGCGCATTTTCTGATACATCAATTTCCACGTCGTGATTTTCCATTTCCATCATTCCTCCGTGCAACTTATCAAGAACTTACTCACGTTCTTCGCTTCGTGAACGTATGTATATAGAGAAAACGTTCAAATTAGCAACATCCTTTAAACGATCCTCTCTTACCTTCTCTGTTGGTACTACGCGTATGTAGTTAACCAACTTATATAACTCGACGAACTGAATGTATCGAATGAAACCTGTTCGATTCTACTTAATATATAGAATCGACTGTTTCCGGTTATCGAAGCAAAGTCCTCGGATGATTAACGGCTTGATCGGGTGATCGAGGGGTCTTATACCATAAATACACGAAAGGAAAAGCGGAACAGTTCGGTTGAATTCGGGCGAGAGAGTCCATCGATGCGAATCGTGGCCAGGATAGACGGCGCTTCTCCTCACCGAGAATTTCGCGAGGGAGGAAGTGGGAAGCACCACCGTGGCGAGGCCCAGTCCAGTACACAGCCGTGTCACGCCACGGGGAACGTATCGAATTTCTTATGGCTTCTGTGTATTCCCATGAACGGAGACAGAAGGTCAGAGAGAAACAGAAAGGCAGGCAGATAGAGAGAGAGTGAGAGAGGGGGAGCAATAGCGGGAGAGAGTAAGAGAGATATATAGACGGGTGCGCGGTGGTGGCTCCTATAGTCCTATCCGATGGCTTTGGGGGTATCGTGGATACGCATGGCATCATTCGCGGCATATTAATTACAGGAAATCCCACAAAGCATCCATATCACCCTCCTATGCTTTCCCTATACGTAATTCGTCGTGTACACCCCTTGATGGAATATCGAACTGAGTCTGCGAGCGGTTTTGATCGTTTTTGCACTTTTTTCCCCCTTTTTTTCTTTCGCCACATTCTTTTCTCGTAAATCTACTTGTGTAGGACAGGGGGAATTTTTCTAAGTCGTGAAAAAAATTTCAGCGTCGGGTTTCAAACATGTGATCTTCAGATCTGTGAAAAATTCTTACTATTACAATACATGTAAAAATGCTTTTGATCATAACAATCGAAACAATTAGGGATACTTGGTTATTTTAACACTTGCTATACACAGTGTAACAGTGTTAACTACTTTATCGGTTTTTTTATTTTTCTATGGTTTTACTATAGTGTCTTTTAAATCGATTACACTTGGGTTTAATAAAATCCGAGTTGATGTGTCCTGGGGTTAATACGAAGGCGGCGGCTGTCTTTGGAGACAGTAGGGAGGTTTGTTTGATGATGACTTAGATGGCTCAATTAATAAAGTGCTCTGGTTTAGAGAACGAGATGGACCTTGGTTGAACAATTCAATTGGATCATTCTTACCATAGTTGAACACATGCATATTCACAAGCTGTTACCTTTTTACTAAAAAAATTCATAAATCCAATATAACGTTTCTAATATAATTAATTCATATGACTCAGTATGAGACACCTGGAGGCTAAACTTTCAATTATTCACTACCTAAAATATACATCATACGGCGTCGAATAAAACGTTTTAAACGAATAGGAAAAATCATTCTTCTACACTTCGACTAATTTCATTTCGTATCACTAGTCGGTAATTGCAATGCAATCTTAACGATCGAGGCTTAACGATAAATTCAAACCTAAACGACAATACAGAGGAAATTTCGGGGAATTAATGAGTCACACGTGTTTCACTCGTACCGAAACTCTACGAGGAAGAAGAAGAAAAAAGATGGTGGGCACGCAACGTTGCGTAGCGATAAGAATTGCTTGTCTAAGCGGCGCAATCTGTGCCGCTTGTTTACGTTTCGCGCTACCTCCTAGTCTCACTTTGTCAGGCAAGGTTGGCTGCCCTGCGCTTCGCCAAGATGACGGCCGGCGACGATCGGCGCGTTCGTAACGATTAAACGTAACGTGAAAACGTATTAAACGTTCTGCCTGTTTCTCTCTCATCGCGTGTGAAGAGCAGTTATTCTCCGTTTGTGTGTTGGTACATTTCTTCTTACTCTTCTTTTTTTTGACGCGTTGCTGTCGATGGCAGAAAAACGTCGACTGCGTTGTCTGTGACCGGTGTCCGGTAACAGAACGTGCGCACGGAACGTAGACAGGCGAAGGAACCAGCGATAAGATGAAAAAGATGCTGATCCTGAGATTTCAGACGGCGCCGTCTGCTCGTTATCTCCACCTCTTTTGTTCCGCGCAATTTCATCCGTATTCTCGAATGTCCTCTTTGGCGACGCGCGTGGCCGCCATTCAGGGGTGTGAGAGTTTTCTTTTTAGACGTTGGTATTACGTACCGCTGCTTGTTTGGGGAGTAAATTAAAAAAATTTTTATTTTTACTTTTTCTATAATAAATAGACTCGATGGGTAGCTAATATATACAGTATTTTTATTATGTAAAATAGTATATTGATAATTTCATTAGTTTCACACCAGAGAACACATATCAGATATATTTGTGAAATGCAAATTTTAAATTTACATTTTTGTGATATGTTATGTTTGATCAGTGACAAGCAATATGAAAGTGGCCTTAAGTCGTATGTTCTCCTTACTTGCTCTTATAATGTAAATCGTTTCTGTGGAAATATCGATGCAAGATAAAATAAGTGATAAATTCAATTTTTTTTTTTAATTTTTGACAGACCATAATCACTGACACATGTTTCTTCTGGATATTGAGAGGTTTCGAAATTTGTTAGTATAATTAGGTTAGGCTCTTATGGCTTCATTTTTGCAAATAATAATTGGAAATACTTTAATCTTAAAATATGAATACAATTCATATTTATTAAGACCTTTTGATATTATACAAGAATTATCAAGTGAATGCAAATTGTGTAAAATTATTTAACACAATATAAAACTAAAAAATACCGTAAAGCAAAGCTATAATTCCAACTTCTGTCGTCTAAAAAAAAAAAATCAAACAAAAAATATAAGCAACATTTCAATTTAACAAACTGAAATAGATCGAACGTGTGTCGAAACAATCACTTTCAGGGTCGCTCGATTAGATTTCCAGTAAAATCGACAATCACCTCCGAGAATAGCGTGGATTTACTGAAAATGGGCAAATGAAGTTGTCGAAGGTTATTGCCTTTCAAAGTTGAAGTTTCCAGTCACGCGAACCTTTGAATAAATCGTCTGTTCTTCGGCCATACATTACACGCGTATGGATCACGTGTAAACGGGCCAGTTAAATCGTTCGATAAGAGCTCCCAGGGGAAGAGCGAGTTTACATCCCGGAGTTGGACGGTTTTTTGCTTGACGCCGACGCCCACGAGACGCCCCAGTCTCGTGGGGCCCGTGATACCGCTCACGTTTCCGCCCCTGCACGCGTGATCCAGCTTTAATTTACATCAGATTGTCGAGGGCAGAATCGACTGGCGAAGCTCGTAGGAAGTCCGCTCCACTCATGATTTCTTACTTGTGTCGAATTTATTACACGTCATTTTTTGTTCTTTTCAATTAATCTTTTCATTATTGAGAAATGTAAACGGCATGCTATATTTTTTTTACAGTGTGGAAATTCGAAATTATATGCTTTTATTTAACTCTCGGTAGGCAAGCA